GAGTGCCCGCCTGTCCCATAATATGTCCGGTGAACCCTGCTGAACCCGAAACCACAGACAGAAAGAGAAAGAGAAAGAGAAAGAACATGTACGCGCGCGTCCAAGTCGCTTACGGACCTCGATCTTTTGCCCTTTCTTTTTTTTTTCTCTTTTTCTTTTTCCTTTTCTTATTCCTTTTCCTTTTCTTTTTTTTTTTTCATTCCTTTTTTTATTTTTTTATTTTTTTTCATTTCTTTTTATTTGCTTCGTAGGACGTAAGTCAGCCGGGCGACAACGAAAGGACGACGTAGGAAGAAACCCCTCCTTCAGAATGGGCTCCGCCGTCAAGGGCTCGGCTCGTCCTACGAGTATCCATCCTATACTCCTGCCAAAATATTCCTCTTCCTACGTATTTCTTTTCTCTCATTTCTCTTATTCCAATACGATACGATATTTCCAATGTTAATTAAATACGCGATCGAATGAGAATATAAATCAGAACGTTCATCGAACGTTCGCCCCTAATCCACGTCGACTTTTTGATCCCTAATGATACTTGAAAACTCGTCCCGATCGCGGAGTGAAAGGGACGAAACAAAAACGAGACAAGGGACTCGCAATCGGTACAATTTCGAGACTCGTTCGATAGCGATTCCCTTTCGAGCAATTCGATCGGGCCACGGATATGTAATTTTGTGTATCGCCAAATTGCCTCTCAACTTTCTCCCTCTACCAAAAGTTATAACTACTTCTCTTGTCTTTCTTCTTTTCTCTTTCCTCCCCTCCCGTCTCTATCTCTCTCTCTCTCTCTCTCTCTCTCTCTCTCTCTCTCTTGTTAAGGTAAACGAACATACGGACGAAGGTACACGAACTTCTCTTCGGTCGCACGGTTTATCATTTCCCACGGCATACATTATTTCTCAGTATATCGACCCTCTTTGCTCTTCGTGAAGCCCTACTAGAACGATTAATCATCCTCAACGTGGTATTACCTTTATAATCGGAGTCTGGTTTCGTTTATCGACCACTCGGAGGAAATGCCCGTTCATTTTCTTTCAATTTTAAACACGAGGACTCGTAATGAACTCCTAAGAGAAAATATAATGGACCGAATTTTACTAGTTAACGTTGCCCGAACGATAAAGTAACACTGCTAGTTTCAAACGCGGTGCTATACCAAAGTAAAGATGAGGAGAGATGAAAAATAAGGAGAAAAAAAGGAAGAAAAGAAAAAAAAAAAGAAAGGAAAAGAAAAAGAAAAAGAAAGAAAAAGAAGGAAAGAAGAAAAGAAAAAGGAAGAAGGTTTGTCCCGACTGTTTGACTCCTCCTTCTTCCGCTCCTCTCCGCCTTCGCGAACGATCATCGGGGATCTTTTCCTTCGAACGAATATAAAAAGAGATAGCGGGAGAAAGAGAGAAAGAGAGAAAAAGAGAAAGAGAGAAAACAATCACGAAAACGTAAGATAGCGGACGCGACAAGACGACGAAGTCGTCATCTTCGTCGTTAACTCTCTTTCTCTCTCTCTCTCTCTCTCTCTCTCTCTCTCTTTCTTCTTTCTCTTTCGTCTTGTCTCGTGCTTTCAGCAACGAAAGACCACCTTCGGGGCGCACGAGTGTTTGATAAACCGGTTAAGGCCCGTCCCCGGATCTGTTTGCCTTTGGCTTTTGTAACTTTACTAGTGTTGTGACTCGACTCGCGAGAGGGACTCTACGCGGGACCAGAAAAAAAAAAGGGATCCGCGATGGTACCCCGAGCAAACAGTCCGTGTGTGTCCCGGACCAACAAGGCGTACGCACGCCTCTCTTTCTGCGACCCGCGTCGAACCCGACAACGATGACTGTCGATGGACACGCGGATGGAAAGCGGTCGGACTTTGCGTTTCTCGCGCCTTCCTACACCCACACGCGCCTTTCGAACTATCCGACCCTTCTCGTCCCTATCCTCGGACAAATTCAAGATCGATATAGTTCTCATCGAAGAAAGAGAAAATTCGAAAAATTTCTTTCTCTAACTTTATCCTATGTTGTTCATTCGCAGAGGATCAAACTTTTTCTTTTTTTTTTTTTTTTTTTTTTTTTTTATGCAATTTAAAGGGATGAAATGAAAAGAGAAGAAAAGTGAGAGAAAGAGAGAGAGAGAGAGAGAGAGAGAGAGAAGCGAGTGGGATGCGAGTCGGTCTCTTATCCAACCGCATCTGCCGCTGTAACGAGCGGTTGCGACGAATGTATTTGTCATGTTACCCGATGGAGAAATTCGATAACAATTCTTTTCGCTACGCGATTTCATTGTACCTATCTTCGTGTTTAAGTCCGTCGTTATCTTCTGACGATCTAAAAAGAAAGAAAAAAAAAAGAAAGAAAAAGAAAAAGAAAAAAGAAAAGAAAGAAAAAGAAAAAGAAAAAGAAAAGTAAACCCCATAGAAACAGTATTCGCGAACGGTCAATTCATTCTACGGTCTGGGCTGTCAGTTACGGCCACATCGCGATTAGATTCATCAACATTCGCATTGCCAGGTTGAATGTTCTATGCTCTTGGCTATGCGTATACATATCTATCATTAAGTAGTTATTCATTTTCCCGATCGATAATAGGACTCGTCGAAAGCTATGGACATTCTAAATGTTCCATAATTTGTCTATCGTTTTAAATCAAATAAATGTTTATACGTCGAGACGACATCGAGAAAGAGTGGAAGGAGAAACGAGATAAGGGAAATAGGAGTCACAACAAAATCGAATTATCAGGCAGGAACGAATGAAGAGGAAATCTTAGACGATTGCGATCACACCCACCCACTTCGGTTCCTAGAGCGAAGCCAAATAAACACACAGGCGTGCTATCTCTCTGAGCCCTCCTCCACTGACTCAGTTTATTGCTTAGTCATTCGACCGCTAATTATTCCATATAAACGTCGATTATATAAATGAACGATCGACGAATAACGAAGCAAAATGAAACGACGTATCGTGATAATTTCTCGAATGGGAGATCTTTCGAGATAGTCGCTCTTATTACCGAACGAATACAGCCTGTATTTCTTTTGGTTATCTATATCTGAAAAAAAAAAGGAAAAAAAAGAGAGAGAGAGAGAGAGAGAGTATTCTATTCGTAGATGGACGTGCGTTTTCCAAGATATTATCATTTTTTTATTTTTTCTAATTTTTTTTCGTTTTTTTTCGTTTTTTTTTGTTCGTAATAAGTATCCCATATATACGCGAAGGATCTAGCTTTCGAAGAACGATTTGAAAAAGATTTAAAAAAATTTTGTAAAATAAGTTCGATAGAGATCGACGACGAGTCGTTCGCTACCGATATAACGTGTCTAATGAAATTCTTCAAATTATTGTGACATCATTGGCAAAGCATTCGCATATACGGTATTATGATGTCACCGATTATGATGATAGCCCGAATGGTTAAGCCGCTTATCGTAAGTGTATAACAATCATGAGTATGATTTCTTTTTTATTTTTTTTTTTTTTTCTTTTTCTTTTTTTTCCATTCGAACGTAAGATTTCAAATATAACTTCTCGCATTTGGTTCGCGACTGACAATTATCAACTTACTTTTAATCATTAACATTGACAGCAACATCTTTCGCACGTAAACAAATTATACGGAATGTTCGTGCGATCACTTTTCGCGAGTGAACCTCCCAGTAAACTATGATTACCGCGAGCGCGAGCGCGCGCGCGCGACCGCAAAGATAATGTCGCGAGATAATAAATTATTTCGATCGTTCTAACCGACGGCTACGTTTAGTCAACAAGATTATCGTATAATTACAATCTAGGAAGTCGAGACCCGGTCCATGATCAGGAGACTGTTTCCAACGGTCCACCAAGCCGAAGGGTGGACGTCTAGACGAATGACCGTCGATCCTATCCCGACGAAAAATAAAGAAATGGATGCTCTCTCTCTCTCTCTTTCTCTCTTATCTTTTTCTCTCTTCCAGGACCACAAGGTCCTATTTTCGAATTAATGACACTCTCCGAAGATGATGCTACGAGATTGAAAAACCTGACCAATCGCAATTGCATTGTCTAACGTCTAACTCGAATTCTTTTCAATAATCGATCGAACCTAAGAAACTTGTTAGATGGACGATTAATTTTCTCTTCTTTCATTCTAATATATCCACGCGTATAATATTTTAAAAAATAATTTTAATAAATATATATATATATATATATATATCGTCTATAACGAAAAGTATATAAGTAAGATTGTTCGATTAATTAATTTCATTAAGACCAATTATTATATTGTTTATTTCTATTTATATCCATTGAAATCTTTCTATCGTCGTCTTATCTATTCTCGATCCTTCGAAAGAGTTAAAGAAATATCGACTTGCTAATTCACGGAACTCGATCAATAGAAACCGCGAGGGAAACGGTACTCGCAAGCCGTCGCATGGAATCCTCACGTGTCATTGCGTCATTAAAATACGTCCCAACGAAACTCGTTGTCGAACGTTGGCCGATTCCTCTTTTCTTTTCCTTTTCTTGTTCATTTCTTTTTTCTTCTTTCTTTTTTTCTATTTTTTTTTCCTTTTTTTTTTCTTCTTTCTTCTCTATTTTCTTCTCTTTTTCTTTCCCTTTGCTTCTACGTTTCTACGAAGACGATCATGTTGGACATGATTCGTCGCATTTCCACGCGAGGCTACGATCGAAAAACGAACGAATAAAATAACTATTCTATAAAGAGAAGGATTTAATTTGAACGCATATCGAAAGTGACTTCGCGGAAAAGTATTTCTTCTTTTTTTTTTTTTTTTTTTTTTCTCGATGACGTTGCAAAGAAAATTAGTGATACGTCTAAAGTAATCTCGAATGGACACGATAAGAAGAAGGATAAGAATTGAAAGGAAATAGAGAAAGAGAGAGAGAGAGAGAAAGAGAAAAAGAAAAAAAGGAAAAAGAAAGACGGAGGAAAGGAAAAAAAAAGAAAAAGAAGAGAGAGAGAGAGAAAGAGAGAGAGAAAGAAAGAAAATGAAAAGGATCTAGCAATGTACACACACCGCCTTAGTGTGGCAAGGGCGAACGCTGAGGCCATCAATAGCTCGAAGATCATCTCTTCCTCGTCCTCCTGCAGGAGATACTCCTGGGCTTCTCCCGGACGATCCAGCTCGTGTTCTGTGATCCACCACTCGCGCACTTCCGCCTCCCTTAATCGTGGAGGCGAGGGAGCCTCTACGTCGTCGTCGCGACGGCCGTCAACGAATGAACGCCTTTATTCTCTTTATACAAATGTAACACGCTATAACGCGTACTCGATTATATCAGAGTACGATATAAAAAAAAAAAAAGAAAAAAAAAAGACTAAGAAAATAGACAACGGAACGAAAGAAAAAGGAAAAAAAAAAGAGGAAAAGAAAAACGAGAAAAGATCATCAATGGAAAGAATATGAGAGGACAATATCGAAAGAGAGAGATAGAGATAGAGAGAGAGAGAGAAATAGAGATAGAGAGATAGAGAGATAGATAGATAGATAGATAGAGAGAGAGAGAGAGAGAGAGAGAGGGAGAAAAAAGAAGAAATGTAATCAATGTAAATTATTGAGAAAACTAATAAGAACGAATTAAATTGATCGTCGATCAATAATGCATCAGATCGACGTCAGAGTGACGTAACATCGCACCAGGAATCTCCACATGTCCGTGCAAATCTACAGTCAAATCTATTCCCACCGATAACAATAACAATAACAATAACAATAACAATAATAACGATAACGATAACGATAACAATAACAATAACAAAAACAACAACAACAACAACAATAACAACAACGACAACAAAAATGATAATAACAACAATAACAATAACTAATGGTCCCTTTTCTTCCGTTCTTAATATAATCTCGAGGCGTCGCGACGCGGCCGACGCGATGAGACTCCGTTGACATTCGAGGCGCCCTTTGCGCACGCTCCTTTTCTTTTTTCCCTTTCTCTCTCTCTCTCTCCCTTTCTCTCGCTGTCCCGCGCGTACTTTCTTCCAAGCCGGGAGGGTATCGGCGCGGTTGACCATTCGGCTTGCCGATCTCGTGCTGACTGAGTGGCTCCCCCGACTTGCGACTCCCAGTTACTCGAGAGACTAGCTCGCTGCTTCTCTCTCTCTCTCTCTCTCTCTCTCTCTCTCTTTTTCTCTCTATCTATCTCTGTCTCTCTCTCTCTCTCTTACTCACCGTCCGTCTCTCTCTCTCTCTGTCTCTCTCTCTCTCTCTCTCTCTGTCTCTGTCTCTCTCTCTCTCGCACCTCGCCGCGCCTCAACTCGACTCGGCGGTGGTACCACCTCCTCCTCTTCCCTCCCTCTCCCCGCAAACCACCTCTCCGTCACCAGCCCACTCTACCTGACGCACCACACACCACTCTACTCCACGAACTCTTCTCTTTCCTCTCCTCTTTACTCTGCGCCGCGCCTCTACGAGCCAGTCTGTCTACCGTTCCTTCTTCTTCTTCTTCTTCTTTTTCTTCTTCTTCTTCATCTTCTTCTTCTTCTTCTTCTTCTTCTTCTTCTTCTTCTTCTTCTTCTTCTTCTTCCTCTCTTTCTTCTTCTTCGTCGTCTTCGTCGTCGTCGTCGTCATCTCCGTCGTCGTTCGTAGTTCACTTCGTCGTTTCTTTCTCGTACACTGCTCCCGATGTTCATCCTTCTCGCCCCACTCCCTCGCTCCCCCCACCTGTTCTTGTACCACCCTCACGGCTTCCGCCGTACACGTAGGTGTACGGACTCGTTTCTCCTGTTCCTCCGGCGATTTCAATCCCGGATTCAACCCTTTCCGAGTGATGGTAAAGTACAAGAAAAAAAAAAGACGAAAAAAGAGAAGAAAAAAAGATAAGAAGAAAGAAAAGAAACGAGAAGAGACGAGAGACAGAGAGAGAGAAAGAGAGAGAGAGAGAGAGAGCGGAAGGAAGAGGAACGTTGTACGAGCGTGAAACTGTTTGCAAACAATCGAAAGCTCTTCCTCAAGTGATACTGAAATATCTACTCGCTCTTGGTTTGTAATCGACAAGCAAGAGGAAACAAAGAAAGAAAAAAAAAGGAAGAAAAGAAAAAGAGAGAAAACGGAAATGCTGATAGATCGTCGGATACGTCACCGATAAGATATTATTACGAGCCGAGATAACGTTCCGCCAAGTCAAAGACTGACGTTTCGTCAGAGCGACGATCAGATGATCACACTCTTAATAATATCTCAGGTACATATTTTAACAGTTAATAATAATAACAATAATAATAATAATAATAATAATAATAATAATAATAATAATAATAAAATGAAGAGAAAAAAAATTTTGTCGAGATGTCCCTTTAAGTATCGGAGACTGGTGATTGGGACATTAGTCCGACGATGGTTACCCGATGTAATCCCCATTAGCGCCGAGCAAATTATACGAATATTATGCGCTTACAAATTGGAAGCTCGCCCCGTGTCTCGACTAAGGAGCCAGAACGGTCGACAGGTTGCCACGATGGCGCACCTCGCTCCTGCAGGATTTTAATTTAACGACGTGCGCGAGCCGCCGTTCCTGCAAAGGGGATCGAATTACCCCCGCCAATTACGACGTCACGTCGTTAATTAACCCACCTCGCTCTGCCGCACGCTACCAGCCGGTCGGCCGATCTTCGGAAAGCGTTCAAAATGCGATGGATCTCGTTTGCTCACCGACGCCCAAAAATATGAGTACCATCCGTCCTCTTCTTTCTTCTTTTTTCTTTTTTTTTTTGCTTGGTCTTTTTTAATTTCTCTTTTTTTTTTTCTTTTTCTTTTTTTTTTATTCCTCTTCTTTTGCACTCCTCCCTTTCCAATTTTCCACAATCGTCTGATCTCGATCGTTATTTTCGTTCTTTATAAGATCATAATCTCACAATAATCCATATACAATTTATTATATTGTTGATCTTAATGTATTCGAAAGATCGTTTTTAACGTCGACACGTAACGCCGATTGAAATTTTCTTTAAACCTTCATAAATTTCCTCTTCTTCTTAGCTTAGCCGCAGATCACGACTCGTATTTTCCGATAAGTATCTAGATACGATAAAAAAAGAAAAAAAAAAAAAAAAAAAAGGAAAAAAAACTCATCGGGATTTTCTCGCGAGGGAATCCCTCATAGTCGTTTTCGACGTCATCGACGACGACGACGACGACGACGACGACGACGACGATGTCGTCGCTGTTGTTATCGTCGTCGTTGTCGATCGATTACGTAAAACTAAACACAACGTCGAAAGGTGCGAAATCTTGAGACGATTCAAGTCAGCGAGAAAATGGAAAATCCTAGTCACGCTAGGTTACCTCGACGAGGATCTTCAAGCTGAATCTACGGTGAATTATTTTTTCGCGAGTCATCTAAACGGAAGTACGATTAGCGTCAAGCCGCGTCCGTCTCGAATACGGTCCTTGGCTTTCATAGATATTTTTTTTTTTTTTTCGGCTTTCGGAACATCCTTCTTCGGTCTTCAGAACTCCGTGATTCCGCGTACTTTTTCTCCCTTTCTCCCTCTTTCCTTTCACTTCCTCCTCGATTCGTCCCACCCACCGTCACCGCCCTCTCTCTCTCTCTCTCTCTCTCTCTCTCTCTTTATCTCTCTCTTTCTCTTGAATGCATCCTTTCTAACGTGATCACGCCATTTCTAAAGTACTCTGGTGCTATTATATTAACGAACTTTCGGTGAAGTCCTTCCCTCGATTTCCATTTAACTTTCGATACTCAGAATCGCGATTGACGTTTTTACCTAACGAGTAGGCGAACTTAATTAACTTAGCACCCTCGCTGTGTAAGCGAATGCGTTCTCTTCGCTTCAACCTGTACACCCACGCATACTTGGTGAAGTTTCAGGAACAAATCTGTACGTATCTTTCGAAACGACGACAATGTTCTCGCGCGTTGCACGGTTGAAAAACTTTTGCATCGAGATAACGGACGATACACGGACTAGTAACAAGTGGCATAATCGGGGCGCCACAGAGATGAATCATACCGATAACTATTTGACTTGAGAGCGTTGCTTCGTTATGAAATCATCGATTTTGTTCCCGCAAAGATCTCTCGATATTTCTTTTGGAACTGACGTAATTCATTGGCGCGTTTCAATATGAATTTTCTTTAGGGAATCTGTACGACTTTTTTTTCTTTTTTTTTTTCTTTTTTTTTTGTTTTCATCTTTTCTTTTTTCTTCTTTTTTTTTATCTTCAAAAATCTATACGCGACATATTTAAACTTTCTTCCCTTCTTCTTCTTCTTCTTCTTTTGTTTTCTTTTTTTTTTATTTTCTTTGCTTTCTTTTCTTAATCCAAAAAAAGTAATAGTAATAATAGTAGTAGTAATAGTAAGGAAAATTATTTTTGCGGTACGTTGTTCGATAAAGACTCCGACGATGAAACAAGAAAGAGAGGAGATGTGAATCTCATCAAGTAGGAGTTACGAGTGGTCGTGGCACGAGCGATTTGCCACGCAGAGGCGAAGGAAGAAGAAAAATAAGGCGAAGATGAAGAGGACGAAGAGGACGAAGAAGATGAAGAAGAAGATGAAGAAGAAGAAGAAGAAGAAGAAGATGAAGAAGAAGAAGAAGAGAAGAAGTAAAAGGAGAAGGAGTAGGGAACCCTTGAAAATCCATTAGTTCCGTTAACGATAAAGATCGGAATCAAGCAACCACCCCGAAGAGGTATCGCAAAGGATTGCAAAAAGTTGTGCGACGACTACCGAGGATGAAGCGAACTGAAACGTCGTCAAAGGGGAGAAAGGAGATCACGGTAAAAGGGACAAAGTTTTGATACGAGGTGCAAATAAAGATGTAACAGCCGGAGGAGCGGCTAGAGTTCGAGTTAATTTTATCCGCGGACGATGGCTCGTGGATACAAAAAAATCGATGAAAGGTTCTCATCGGAAAAGTGTACTAACCGCTAACTGCACGGTCTCCTTTAATCCACCTGTTCGTAGCTTTATACCTTCCAACCGACGTAAGTGAAGTACTTCAGATACACGAAATGAATCGCAAATCATGCGGAATCAATATACCAGTTATTTATTAACGGTAACTTTAAATTTAAAACTAAACATAATCGAAATCAAACGTGTCGATTTGATATGGACGGATGGAGGAGAAGGGCGGGGATGGGTAAAAAAAGAAAAGAAAATAATAATGTACATTAAGGGAGATAGGAGAGAAATAAGCAAAAAACCAAAAAAAAAAAAGAAAAGAAAAAAAAAGGAAAAACGAAAGAATAAGAAACGAAAAAAAAAGAGCGTAAAGTGAGAAAAAACACAGAGCAAAAAAAGAAAAAAAAAAGAAAAGAAGAGGAAAAAGAAATTAAAAAAAATTAAAAGAGAAAAAAAATAAAAGGAAATATCATTTGGATCATTGGCCTTACCCACTCGCATTCTCCGTAAGATAGATGAGTCCAAGCTTGCTCGTAGCCAATATCCTTCTCCCTTTTCGAGTATCCTCTCTCTCTCTCCACGATGTAATCCACTCGTAGTAGAGAGATACACGGCGCACATGCACGCACGCGCGTGTTCGCACGCAAACTCGAAAAGCAGGTCAGCACAAGCAAGAGAAGTACGATTATAGGCAGGAGAGAAGGGCTCTCTCTGCGTTCTCTTTCTATCTCGTATATCTCGTATATATCGTAGCGCACGCTCCGTAAAGATACACCTCCTCTCTTGCCTCTTCGTCGTCGGTAGTCTTCGTTGTCGTTGTATCGTTACGTCGTCCTCGTCGTTGTCGTTGTCGTTGGTGGTGACGGCAACGGCGGCGGTGGCGATGGTGGTGATGATGATGACGGTGGCTGTGATGACGGCGGCGGTGGTGGCGGTGGTGGCGGCGGCGGCGGCGGCGGCAGTAGCGTCGTCGTCGTCGTCGTCGTCGTCGTAGTTATCGTCGTAGTTATCGTCGTCGTCGTCGACGTCTCGTGCGTATACCGGATTAATGAATGACTAGACACCGGCGTGGAACTATGAATGAACTCTCGCATAGCACTAGAGTACTATATAACCGTGCACATTGTGGGCGTCCGCCGGCTGCTCTCTCTCTCCCTCTCGACCAATGAGATTCACTCTTGGTGACTTGCACGCGGTCTAATACGATTACGTCGCGATTTAACTCCGTTCTAAACTTTTCTCCGAAATTTTCATTTATT